TCCCCGCAACTATGCCGACTCACAGTCACCCAGTTGCCCTGCTGCGGGGCGACTTGTTACAGTTGTAAAAACGACAGCTTTCTTCTAACATGAAGGGGTTTGGCATCACAGCACATTTGTTTCCAGGCGGAACGTTAAAGAAGGAGACACACACGTCTCCCGGAAATCATGTATAATTCAACCAATCTGATGATGATTTCGAAACTCCCGAAGTGTTTCAAATTGTGTGTGCCATATGCATCAGACGTTCATCCAATGGTCTGCGGACGTGATGTCTGAGGCTAAGACTAGGGTTGGGCCGATGGCATCACAACAACTCTTTAATACCGTGCTGTTTCTACCCACTTTCAATGCGTTCGACTTCCCATGCTCAACTGTGGATGAGCACGGACGGACAAGCTCGACACATGCGCAGTAGTATTATGGAAGCAGATTAGTCTCAATAATAATTCAAGCAAAAGGCACGATGCACACAGGCGTATCCCAAGTCACATGCATGAAACCCAATTCACGTGCATGAAAAATACATATACGTATATATATATATATATATATATATATATATATAAAAGCTTTGACGCACACTCCAAAAATACGTATTTACAGGCTATGAGTCAGAACAGACGGCATTGTAGTCTACTCTCCCAGGTTCAGGAAATAGTCCTCCATAAAATGTGTTGCACACACACGAATAAGTGGTTTGGACTGTTCTGGAACAGTGTTGTAAATACAACTTAACCACTGATATCTAGTTGTGTCCTCTTTTGGAAGGCCAAACTAAGTATTTTCGCTTTCGCAACGAAACACACAGCATCTCCACGACATGGTGGCGGCGGCAACAATACTACAGCGAGAATAAAAGTTACGCCTTCTTTCTTTGCGTGAACATTTGGGCGGCGTTATGCAAATCTTCCCACACAGTGACGTAGACATGTGGGGGCGTGTTTAAACGAGGCGTTTTAGGAGGGCGTGGACGAGTCTTAACTTTTAAATAGAATATCTCTTTGGGTTTGAGACTTTAGTCTTTGCAACTTTAGGGATCGTATCTATCATGAACAGCTTGTAACACTCCAAAGAGAAAGGAAAACTTGAAATTGCACCATATGACCCCTTTAAAATTCACGAGTTTATCATGGACTGTGAATGTGTGAATTTGAACTACTTGCAAATAATCATTTGTTTTAAAATATGCATACCTTCACTCTTATTTGTATGACTCTGTTAATGTTTCTTGTCTAAATGTAAATAATATATTTTTTTATTAAAATAAAAAAGTAATGACTTGAAATTACTGCCAGTTACTTTTTAGTTTTTTAAACAGTTAAAATAAATAATATCTAATGAGAGGCTGAAATAGGTATAAATGTTCAAATAACAATTCCTATGACACAAATAAATATAAATGCGCCTCATGACTTAACTACATTTAGAAAAGTAAATTAATACTTTTACTTTGGTGCACTTCCACAGACACTTTTGTTACTTCAGTGAATGAAAAATAACAGCTGCAGAAGTCAGTGTGTGATAGTAATGTTTGATTACCAAACTAATGTCATGTGGACTGTTATTGTATGTCTCCGTAGGTTGTCTGGCTGTATGGTGACAGAGGAAGGCTGTGGTTATGTGTCTTCAGCTCTGAGTTCAAACCCCTCACACCTGAGAGAGCTGGATCTGAGCTACAATCACCCCGGAGATTCAGGAGTCAAGCTGCTCTCTGAAAAATTGAAGGATCCAAACTGCGCACTGGACAAACTCAAGTATGTCAAGTAGGAGGAGTTTTTGATAAACTCCAAAAACAGCATTACAATCTTCACTTATTACAAAACAGTTACACTTTATATTCTTCATACATTTACAAAAGTTATTTTGAGAATTTACAGAGGTATAGCTCTAGTTATACTACAGGGCTGTTAAAAGCTTCATTCTGATTGGCTGACGAACGTTCTAAGGTGTGCAATTATTTCCAGTGAATGCACAGCAGAAACTTGAATGTCAGTGCTGCCCTGCAACTTCATCAGTAAAATAATTGTGGAACTTGTCTGAAAATGGAACTGTATTAGGTGAGGTCCGATATCTAGCTTTCCTCAAGGGGTGTCTGTCAAAACAAAGGATCCAATCCAGGCTGTACACAACACAATTGTATATGGGTTTTACAGATTTAATCCGTATTCACCATAGGTGAGTGTGTATATATGCAGATATATGGGGTTTGTGTGTATGTGTGTGTGGCCTACAATAGAATGAGAATAAAGATATGAATTAACTCAAGAATTATCCAAAGACATTATTGACATGAACAATTTATATAATCTAGGAAAAAATTCTCAGGTTAATTAAAAAAAAAAAGTGAACTTTATAGATGACAATGGGATCTTATGCCACCATCTAGTGGTTAGAAATGGAAAAACGCATTCAAACACAGAACTGCTTATGAGGTAAATTACATAAACTTCATGTAAGCAAAAACATTGTGTATATGAATTTCAATATAAAAGTTATAACTTCAAATAAAGAGAGATTTGGTTGCTAAAATAATATACTGTATATAGAGACATGCAAAAAAAAATATTGGATTACAGAAAATAACATTATCCATGAACAGTAATACAGAATATCATGGCAAGGCATATTCAAATGCGATTATGCAGCTGTAACACTAATAAATGGCTAGCACATAATGACAGAATAATGTGTATGCATCATTATGATAAATGTCTTATACTGCACTTCATACACAGGTAAATCACATCTGTTCATTGACGCACACATCAACACACGCTGTACACCTTGCACTTGCACCTCACTCTTTCTATGAATACTGCCTGACAAAAAGGGGTAATTTTTTATCACATAATAAAGAAAATATAATTTACAGTTTCTGTATTATAATTCTGTCATTACACCTCTCGTAGAGATTGGTATGGTAATAGAGATTGGCATGGAAATGGATATGGCAATGTTGATGTATTTGGTCTTGGCGGAATAGGTCTGCTATGCTGCTGCTGCTAGGCAAGAGACATTGCTGTGAACATGCAGGACATGTTGCTGCACATATAACATACATGAAATAACCCCCCAACAAAGCAGGATACAAAAGAAAAAATCGCTTAACACTAGTAGCCTATGACTATGTGTGCCTGGGCTACTGTGCCTAATGGCTCAACACTAGTGGCCTATGACAATGTGTGCCTGGTCAACCTTGACGAATGTCTTAACTCTAATGCAGTGCTTCTCAACCACATTCCTGGAGCCCTCCAACACTCCACGTATTGCATGTCTTATTAATCAAACACACCTGATTCAGGGCATCAGCTCATTAGTAGAGACTGCAAGACCTAAAATGGGTGTGTCAGACAAAGGAGAGATGCAAAATGTGCATCCAGGAATGTGGTTGAGAACCACTGCTATAGTGGGTTATGACTATGTGTGGCTGAGCTACCTTGCAGAATAGCTTAACACTATTGGCCTATGACTATATGTGCCTGGGCTATCTTGCCGAATGGCTTAACTGTAGTGGCCTATGACTGTGTGTTCCTGGGCTACCGTGCTGAATGGCTTAACTCTAGTAGCCTATGACTATGTGTGCCTGGGCTATCATGCTGAATGGCTTAACTCTAGTGGCCTATGACTATGTGTGCCTGGGCTACCGTGCTGAATGGCTTAACTCTAGTGGCCTATGACTATGTGTGCCTGGGCTACCGTGCTGAATGGCTTAACTCTAGTGGCCTATGACTATGTGTGCCTGGGCTGCCTTGCCAAATGGCTTAACTCTAGTGGCATATGACTATGTGTGCCTGGGCTACCTTGCTGAATGACTGGCTCTAAAAACATGCACTGTGTTCTCATTAACAACAGATATGTTGCAAGTTGATAGAGATAAGAACCCCAGCAACCACCTGTGTAAATACAATAATTAAATCATTTGATATAACATCGACATAATCTTATCCTCTTATTGATAAGTGAACAGCTTTTGAGATGACAGGAAAGACTCTGATCTGGTCTCTGCTCTGACACTGTGTATAGCTTAAATCAACTGCACACATTAAGCATAGCTAATGAAACATTAGATGGCATTTCCTCACAGTGATTGCATACAAGAGACTGCTTGCTGCAGCATAAACACGATTGTGTAAACGCTGCAGCTTATATGCTTGATAAATCACTCCACAAGACTATTAAACATAACACTTAGATTAAACTGTTATTATTGCTCATTTATGAATTAATAAGCAAACCATGCAATATACAGACATATGGAGACACATTTTAGATGCTTTCTGGAAGTGCGCTGCAAGCTGCTAACAGCAACACTACTGTATTTGAATATTGAGCTGCAGCTCATTGGCTACTGATGCAACAGCAACCAATCACCTGCACTATGTAGATAACAATGTGATTGCTACCAAATTGTGCTATGGATCTATCAGCCTGCGTCATCTAGAGTTTCATGCCAGAACATGGTATTAAAGGCTATGCCAATTAGCGCTGCATTATTATACAGTTAGAATTGCACAAAAATATACTTTATTGTTATGAAAAAAAAAAAAAACATTGTTTAAACATTAGCAAGTAAAACCCTCATGATCAGATTAACAACTAAAATGGATGTAATTTCATTCCAATTAATTAGTTCACTACCATTTCAATGAATTTCACAAATTGTAATAGAAAACTCAGAAATCACTTCAGCTTACCTGTTTGCAGCAGAGCAGTCTCATAGGTTAGAATTAATCACATGCTGAAGAGCTGATGATGTCATCTAGTGTATGTGTGGCAAAGTGGTGGTTATTCCTAGGAAATCATGACAAGAAAACATTTGAAAACTTTAACCAGGGAGAGAATTACCCATACAGATAACCCATCCTCGGAGGATAGACTTGAGAAGCTACACCTCCAAAGATAACAGACCATGCCACCCGGGGGACTAGTCTACCTGGGAATTTGCCCTTTACAAAAATCACCAAGGCACACAGGTTTAGTTACGGCTGAGTCAAGACATGAAACTGAGATGACTTTATTGAAAACCATCAAATAGCATATACAAAAATGCAAATATAAAAATCAATACAATATACATACACAATTGTGCCTCCATTCCAGGGCTGGGGGCCTAGCTCTCCCAATCTCTGAAAAAACACAGCAAACACACATGCAATCACACACCACAGCACCCCCAAGTGTTGAACACTCACACAAAAGAGTACCACCACCAAGCAGAGAGAAAGGGCTCATCCCTCACACTATCACTGGAGAGAAAATGAAACTACTATGTAGTCACACCAACTTTCACACACAACTCCTTGTGAATTTTAACAATCACCCACCTGGTCATAGAAAAAAACAAAAAAACAACAGAAGGAACACTTCAGAAAAAAAAAAAAATCAAACCATTGTGGTACAAATTCCCCTTCGCACCTGACTTAAGTTTAACTGGGGCGTGTCTCTGGCGACACTTAAGAATTATACTCTTAGCGCATCTCAATTGACACTCTGTTGCGTTGGGCGACGTCTCACCCCTTTTGAAAACTATCACTCGGGATTAAGATCTCTAGTGCTCTACTAACCTGCTGCACAGCAGTAACCAGACAGACTCCAAACAATTCCTTTGAATATGCTTTAATCACGGCCGGGAGGATCTCATCTCAATCATAGAGAATCCCCACGCAACTAGGATACAACCGTTTATGTAAGAATGGTACATAGCAAAGGTAACATCATATCACATTACATAATTTTCCTCTAATATGACTGGTTCCCCTATGTGGAAAATCTAAGACCCCTTCTCCCTAGTTACTGATTACTTCAGCTTGTTCCTTAAACCATGTATCGCTATTAGTATTTCCCGACAGATGTCTTGTTCATGTTTAAAACTACTCAAGGTTAGAATTTCTGTTCCCTAACACGTACTCAAAAGTTAGGCCTGCAAGAAAAAGAAGTTTTAGACATTATTTGTGATCAACTGATTTTGTGATTAATTTAAAATTGATTAAATGTAAAATTTCCTTCACAATTCCCCTTTCTAATAATTTATCTTACACAATCATCAATTCAATCATCAATTCTATTCCTTTACTGGAGTGTATCATACTCCTCTTCCTCCCTAGGTGTATACTTGATCATCTGAATATATATTGGCCTTCTCTTACTATTATAACAGCTTTGATCACTTTCTCCAAACAAATTTGAATACATTTCAAGAAACATCCAATCATTTATAAAGTACTCGTCCAAAAACATTAGTAAAAGAATTGAGCAATCTAATAATCTAATCTGATGTTGATAAATTGTGCTTTAATCCCATTTGATATCTCTCATACTTCATGTTAGCCATATTCTTTTCATCAACATCCTAAACTGGAATGAAAATACAGCAAATTTACCCAATTTTACCACATACACATACCAATATTCTATCTAGAGCCTTCCTGTTTGCAAAATGCATAACAGAATAATTTTACAATTTTTATATATTCAAAAATCTTGTTTTCAAGCAATGGAAAATTAAAAACTGAATACCCCAGAGTATATTGCTGTAACAGACCTTTTACAGAGTCAGTTCTTAGTATTATCTTCTACTTGATTTTAGGTCATATCGGTCTATTAGGAAATCAACAAACTCATACTGCTGCTAAGGAAGCTGTCAGTATAGGTACAAGATGTCAAATTCTTCTCTTAGACCTACTCTGAATTCTTACATATTAAACAAATGGCAAGAAGAATAGGACACATGTACCAACAACAGATTACATGAAAT